GAGAGGGAGGGAGATGAAGAGGGAGGGAGATGGAGAGGGAGATGGAGAGAGAGATCAAGAGGGAGGGAGATGAAGAGGGAGAGGGAGAGAGAGGGAGAGGGAGAGAGAGGGAGAGGGAGGGAGATGGAGAGGGAGGGAGATGAAGAGGGAGAGGAAGAGAGAGGGAGAGGGAGGGAGATGGAGAGGGAAAGTCCATTGTTGGGGGCAGGCAGAGAAACCTCTCAGAGAGCAGCCTTCATCTCTGAAACAAAGCCCTATATGTCTCAGCGAGGAGTCTTGGTACAACCTTAGTCAGGACTTTTAGAACCTTTCGGGGTGAAGGGAAGTTTCACACTAAGATTTAGCTCAGGGTCGCGCACCTGACAGAGGAGTGAGAACATGAAGTCATAGCACGGACTTCTTGACTGTGTCACACGGAGCTGCAGGGTGCATGGCCTGACTCCAACTATGGGATCAGGACTGCATGCGTTCCAACTGTCGATAAATCTTTAGGTTCAATAGGAACGACTTCTGGAGACCTAATATACAGTGTGGTCTATGCATTGCACACTTGAAAATTTTCTCAAAGAGCACATAAGTATTTTTTCCTCTCCCCCACAAAAGATAATTATGCCAAGGAATGAACGTTAATCAGCTTAATTATGATAATAATTATGTAAGATACACTAATAGCAAAATGTCAGGTTGGGGCTAGAGACGTAGCTCAGTTGGAAGAATGCTTTTAATTCTGTGTAAGGAACTGGGAACCTCACAATCTGTAATTTAAAAAAAGCCTCCATGTAGCCCATCTCAAAAACCTACAATACTCCACCAATTGTACATTAATGAATCTAAAAATGAAATGAACAAAATAAAATATATATTATATAAAATATATAATGTCTACTTGGATAGAAACAGTCCCTGCTTTTCTATACAGACAGAATCAAAAAGCTTCCTAAAAGTACCTTCATTCTTGGAAAGTTCACATGGGTGAGTGACCTGGCTTAGGGATAGGTGTTTTCTCTCTTGTCATGCCCCTGATGGGAAAAAATTTATTCTAAGAAATAAAAGGGAGAAACATCCAAACTCCCGGAGACTTCACATCAGGCTAGACCCATCTTCTCATCGAGGTCTCTTGGCCAGATGGACACAAAGGCCTCAAGGTAACGCCACAGAGATAATGCTCTACCTCAGGCTCAGGCCTTGCCCCTACTTCCTGATTCCAGGCTGTCTGACTCTCTGCTGGTTTTCCTTCAGGCATACTGGCTTTAGGTGCCTGCATTTCCTCATAATCCGAGGAGGAGTTGGGGGTTAGGGGAACAGTTAGGCTTTTACTTGGGGTCTCTCAGACAGAAAGTCAACTTTCCAACAGGATAATTAACCCAGGATGCTCAGGGCAGACCGCTGCCCAGACTCCCTCACCCCATCCGGAAGCTTTCTCATTACTCTTGGGTTTCCCACAGCAGGGGCACAAGTTCTGGGCTTTCCTGCATGAATGTTCCTATTAACTTCATCTTCTCAGCTAACAGGGGTGATTTAATCCAGGAGAACATTAAAAACCAAACAGACTTCGGGGTTCCAACCTGAGGTACTTCTTAAGAAATTTAACAGTGCGACTAACCTGTTCAACTAGAAATGTGCTTAGAGAGAAAACCAAAATGGAAATTTGCTGAGTGTTAAAACTGTGGTATTTTTATATGTATAATGTTAGCTGAAGGTTTGTTTGCAGGAAACAATTTGCATAACAAGAATTCCTGTTTTTTTTTTCTAATTAGTGAAATAACTGAAGAGCAACCACCTGTGAAGGAGGAAAGAGAGAGTTATTATCGTAAATGTTCATGTGATCATTTGGGGAGACTGGATGCCCTTCTACCCAGACTCCACTCCATCCCCTCAATCAGAGGGTTTCTTTCTGTCAGCTGAACGATAAGCGTCTTCCCCACATACGAGCATTACTCTGGCTGGCCACACTCCACACAAAGCGCCAAGAACAGTGCTATGGGTTTAAACTCTTACTTTGAGAGTCCGCCACCCAGCTCCCAAATAAGTACACAGATCATGGACGCCCAGCTGTAGCTTAGCTTATTTCAGGCCAGCTTTTATTAAATTATCCTGTGGGCTTTTATCTTCCTCTATTCCACATACCTTTCTTAACCTCTCAGTCCGCAGCTAGCTGTGTGAGGGTGTGGCTGCCCTGGTACGCTCCTCTCCTTCTCTTACCCTCGCTCCTCCCTCCTCCTCTCTTATCCATTCATCCTCTCTGCCTGGCAGCCCCGCCTATCCTGCCTCGCTATTGGCCATTCAGCTCTTTAATAGACCAATCAGGTGTTTTAGCAGGCAAAGTGACGCAGCTTCACAGAGTTAAACAAATGCAACTCATAAGAATGCAACACAGCTTTGCATCATTAAACAAACACTTCACAGCATAAATGAGTGTAACCCATCTTCAGCTGGCATTCCACAACACAAAGTGTCTGCCTTGTTGATTTTTTTTTTTTTTTTTTAATGCGGGACAGAAATGGCTCTTCCACCGTGCGATGGTTTGAGTGAGAAATGCTCCCCATAGGCTTGGGTATTTGAACAGTTGTTCCCCAAGATGAGGGTCAGGAAGCACAGTATTGCTGGAGGAAGCTCACAACTGAGCGTGAAAGCCTCACACCATTCCCAGGTTCCTCTCTCTGCTTAGGGCTCGTGCTAAGAGATGAGCTCGCAGCTCCCTGCTGCCCTGTGTCACTTCCGGGGTGGATTCCCTCTCTCTTTGGGACCACAAGTCAAAATAACGTCTTCTTTTGCTCTGACACAGCACTTTATTACAGAGGCAGAAAAGAAAGCAGTAAGCATGGTAACACTCATGAAAAGATCACAGATAAGCGATACTTCTGTGAGGGCTCTGAGCTAATGGAGATGCCCAGGCACCACAGGGTCAATACCACCACAGTGAATGTGACTTCTCACGGGAAGCCATTCATTCATTCATTCATTCATTCATCCATGTTACAGCCATTCTTAACATTTCTAGTTGCCCCTGCCAATAGTCCCCCTTCCGTATTATTCCAGGTTACCATTAAATATAGCAGGGGTGAGTTAGTACTCTGAAATCGAACAAACAAAGCAAGCCATAGTTGAGGGATGAAGTAAGTATGTGGATATTTAGTGAGTTCCTTGAGTCATCTGTTTCTAGCAATGGTATCAGGATTAATTTGGGAGAAATGCTGGATTAAGTTCATGTCCAACACCGATTTTGATTGAGAAAGATTTATCCTCCAGTTTGTGAGGAACAGACCTAAAGTAAAGAGTGCTGTTCCTTCTTCCTGAAATTCACATTAATTCTCGACGATAGCGGTGTTCCTCATTGACCACCAGCTAAGCAACCCGCCGCTAAAAAAAAAAAACATTTCCTACGTGAATTAAAACATTTACAAGTCAAATCTGGAGATCTTGAACAAAAAGGTGCAATTCTTGCCTTGCTCCAGAGGTCTCTGCTGACCCTGCCAGGGGCAGGGGTGGCTCTGACAGCCCCTATCTGACAGAGTCCTATCCTACACAGGGACTGTTGAGTTAGGCTGGCATGGAAAGACTCTTCAGGGGCCCTTTGCAGAGCTCCTGTGTACACTCAAACTTTAACAACCAAAATTACGGGTTGCAATAGAAACAGCATTGCAAATCAAATCTAAAACAAACATCGCAATTTAGAACAACTAAATGATTTATGCACTGTCTAGTACTCTGGCCAGCACTGGGTTGGACATTGCAGGGAGTGTTCCTATTCTTCCTAGGGAGTGAGCTGCTTAAATGGTTAAAAACCTACACCACACAAACTAGCATAAGAGCCTGTACCTGCCTGGACACAAATTCTTCCCTCTTTTGCCACATATTTCAATTCTATGACAGTAAGTAAAAATCAACATATATTTCTGTAGTCTAGAAAAATGTGTCCTGAAGTTGACAGGCTAGAATCCCACCTGTATACGAAAATAGTTTCTAATGTTCAAACTTAAATCTATACCAACACTTGGAAGTTCCAAAATTAAAATATTTAAGAGGGAGAGAGATATGAACCTCATAAGATCATATTACTTATTCTTCTCTGAATTCTCCTGTACTAGATTTTATACAGTTCTGTACAGTCTGCATGGTGATACAGAGAGTAATTTGCGGGAGTTCCTTTTTGGGAGGCAGGTTACTTTTAAGTTCCATTTCGGGACAGATCTCTTACTAGAGGATACAAAGAAAGACCAAAAATCTTTTCCAGTGTTTGTAACATGGTGCAAGTTTCTCTCCAAGTTAAGCACAGGACAATACTTATTAGTGCTAGAAGCTAAGATCTGATTTCCATGGCTCTTACCCTTACAGTGGCAAATCAAATTTTCTTGAATCGATAGCTCGAAGACAGGATTATACCTCTTGGTGGAACTGTGTCTAGTATACCAACTACAATTATAAAATCTTTTTACAGGAAAACACAGGATGATTTTTGTTTCTTTTTGTGCTATGTTCTTTAAAATAATCTTGAATTTGTCTTGTTTTTGTGTTCTAAAAAAATTCCTTAACCTAATGGCAAACAAGGGTACCTCTTTCTTAATAGGCAAAAAAAAAAAAAAAAAAAAAAAAGATTCAATGTAAGCAATGAAGTAGCAGGTGAAATTCACAATCTCTGCCCCCTATTTTTGGCTAGCTTGTGAATACACAAGTTTATAGATGGCCCAAACCAACCAACTTAGCTCCCAGCTCTGATAGCAGACAATGGTAGCATTGACATGATTAGCTCTTCGTTAGAATTTAAAAGGTAGAAACTACCGAAGAAGGAACTAGAAAATCCTTCTTTGCTGCTGTCTTAGTTACAGAGCTTTCATTTGGCCACTAGGCTTTGTATTGATTTTGTATTACATCTTCTGCCAAATAAGTCCAGAGAAGATAACAGTCCATAACGAGAAGAAACAACTGAGTTAGAAATGAGATGCTGGCTTGGTTGGTCCACTAAGAAATGGCAAACATCGTCTCTACCTGGGGTTACTCACCCACGAGTCCTAACAGAACGTAGCCCATAACAAACAGTATGAAGATCATACAGCATAGAACGTCCGTACAACTCCTGAAGACAAAAAGGAATGAAGAATTAAAAGGCATCCCAAATGACTTGTTCGCTACACAAAAATGTAGAGAAGGAAGGTAATAGCTATCAGCCTCCTGGGGCCCACAGTTCTGACAGGAGGGACTGGGCTATTTGTTCAGGCAAAGACTGAGGTAATGGGGGGGGTGTGTCTCAGGGAACAGACTAAAGCTCCCTCAGAGTTCTAAGTATTTATTCTCTCTTGATTAACTGGAAAAATATTTTTAGAGATCAGCATACACCAACATCAAGTAGATATTTTCTTTTCATGTATATAGCACGAGTGTACACATGTGTTTGCATGCAACTTCCTTGACCAATTTCCATCTAATTCATTGAGGCAGGGCCCTCATTCAAACCTAGAGGTCTCTGATTTGACTAGTCACTGGCCAGCAGGCTCGGGAGATCCCCTGGTGAGTAACACATCCATCAGCCATTTTCGTGGGTGCAGGGGACTTCCCGTTTTCTCAGGTTCTCTTATAATCAATTGGCAAGTCCTCTGGACTCCCTCTCTTGGGTCTCACTTTCAAAAAGGGTCCTCTTGCTTACAGTACAAGCAAGACACCTGCAGAGCTGTCCCCTCAGCCCCTGAGTGATTTTTAAAAGTCCAATTTGAAGTCATGTGGTGGTGACACACACCTTTAATCCCAGCACTTGGGAGGCAGAAGCAGGTGGATCTTTGTGAGTTTGTGGCCAGCCTGCTGGTCTACAGAGTGCGTTCTAGGGCTTTACAGAGAATCCCTGTCTCAAAATAAAAAATAAAAAAAAAGTCTAATTTGAAATATAATTTAAGTAGTTTGGTCACAGGAGTTTTACTTTTCACGCTTTCCCAACGTGTGGTCTAAAAGTTTGTCTTTCTTCCCACATGTGTTTTCTTGGTTTGGTTATTTTACAAGGAGGACTGACTGCATTATCTTTCTCCGAGGAACAGAGTTACACATACTCTAGCACTAGTGTACGCAGCTGAAAATATTTCCAAACCCTAGTCCTTCCAGAACCATGCAAAACAGACACCATCAGATTAGATTGAAAAAGAATGTGGTTCTGAGAGATTCACTAATTTGCTAGATCAGGACTGGAATGCAACCGATCAGGAAGAATAATCAAAGTTTCCCTTGTCATTATGTTAAATTCTATTGTAGGTGTATGCTATTTTCCCTGCATGTGATCTGCCCAGCACTTGTGTGCCTAGTGCCCACGGAGGTCAGAAGAGGATCTCCTGGAACTGGAGTTATAAATGGTTGTGAGTTGCCCAGTCCTCCAGAAGAGCATCCAGTGCTCCTGACTACTGAGTCACCTTCCCAGCCTTAACATCAAAGGATTTCAAAACCAAATGTTTCCTATTTCCAGTATGACACCGTATTCGGTTTCCAATGGCTTAAAAGTTTGAGCTAGGGGCTGGAGAGATGGCTCAGAGGTTAAGAGCACTGGCTGCCCTTCCAGAGGTCCTGAGTTCAATTCCCAGCAACCACATGGTGGCTCAATGAGACCTGGTGCCCTCTTCTGGCCTGCAGGCCACTGTATACATAATAAATAAATAAATTTTAAAAAGAGTTTGAGCTATATCAATAAAGTGAGAAACTTCATGCTTCTTTATCTGAAACAACTGTGAATTGATTATTAAGTATAAAAACCAAACAAGACAAGAAGTCTAGGCACACAATTGTGAGGCTTGTAACCCCAGCAGTCCGGAGGACCAGGCTGGAGAACCTTGACCTTGAGGCAGTCTTGCATGTATGAGGGATTCTGTTTAGAAAGGAAAGGAAAGGAAAGGAAACAACAGCTTATTTGAAGGGATTGGAAGTTGTACCAGAGAATTTTCAAAGCAAAATATCTTGATTTGGAGGCATCCGGATACACTCAAATCTTAGCACAGATGAGATGTGTGTGTTTGTATACATTTGTGTTTATGTGTGTGCTTGTATACCTGTGTATATTTCTGTCTCTTTGTGTGTGTGTGTATGTGTGTGTGTGTGCACGTGCGCTCATGCATGTAATTTCAGGTAATTATAATTATCTGCTATAACTATCTACTATTTCATTATCATTTATTTCTGCCTCTTTCCTCATATTCTCTCTAGGGGAAAAAAAAAAGATCAGTGCTTAGAAATGTTACTGGGAAGATTTTTTTTTTTTTTTGAGAAAAATACAAAATACAGCTTATGTAAAATTGTGTGAGTCAAGGAATACAGCAGGCGGCTTCCACCTTTTGAGCCTTGCGGCTTCTCTTTGTTCTGTCTTTGAGCTCAGGGTGGCAACCGCACCCCAGTGCCCTACAAGGGCTTTTAGATGAAGTGTTCCATCTGGGTAATTAAAGAAACCCCCCCCCCCAGACAAACACTGAAAGATTGGCTAGTAGACCTGTCTGAGGTACTCTGAGTCGCGTGTGAGCTGGAGGGCAGTTCTGGGTAGCTTTTCCTCAGGTGGGCTCATTTTCACTGTCACAGCAAACGTTAAGAACCACGATAGGAATTAAAAAGTGGGTTGCGCCCCATGGGGTTCCAGACCCAACTCTCTTCATCACTTCCCTCCTCGGAACAAGGCTGCTCCCACTCTGTTCATGAGAAAGCCTCCACAAACATCCAGACTGAGGAGCTTTCAAGTTAAATTATAAAAGGACTTTGCTCCCTTGTAGCTAATTTGCAAGCATAAGCATTGGACCCCAATTACAGATGCGCTTACATATCTCTAAACTACGGCTATGGTACACACATGGCCACCCAGACTTAAAGTATTGGGAGTTTCCTTTGCTTTCCCACTTTCTCGACATCTTTTATAGTCAGCTGGCAAGTTCTCTTGACTTCTCTCTGATCTGGCTTTCATCCATCTCCTACGTTTTGGTCTTGTTCTCCTATCTTCTCTTCAAACTGTTGCCGCGGTCTCTTAACTGGTCTCCTGCAAAGTCTCTGCCTGGCCCAAACCATTCTGTAACCAGATATCACTGGGACACGGGACACGATTCTCTCTCACAGTTCCCGAATGCCAGCTTCACGGTAACTTGCGGGTCCTGTCAGTGAGCAAGCCATACCTTCTTTCCAGGCCCATCTTCCCCGCTCCCTTTTCAATGGCTTCAACTTGCCCATTCACGCATGCACACACAGCTCAGTGTCCCTTGGTCACATGTGGAGCGTTCTGCTCTTAGCACCACTAGATCCTCTCCTGGGTATCCGAATGCCCCGTCGGGCACATCACAGTCTGCTTCCAGCTGTGGGGCTGGAACACACATGAGGGAGGCTCGCTTGATTCCCGAAAGTGTCCAAACTTGAGCTACCTACCCCATTACATACAACCTCCTTCTCTAAAACTCTCGTGACCCTGCATGAGGCCTTGAAGTGGGAGACGGCCCTCTCAGACCTGAGCATCTTATACCTCCTGTATGTAATCTGTATGTGGTGGGGTGGGCGGGGCGCTGCTGACCACTAGCACAGCTACTGTCCCCTTGCTCACGGGAGAGCTGTAAGTGATTATTTTTTTACTTCATTTGTGTCTGTGAAAGCATCTCACTGTGTACTCTAGTTGGCCTGGAAGTTGCTATGTAGACCAGGCTAGCCTCAGATTCTTGAATCTCCTCCTCTTACTAGCTTTTCCGTTTTTAAGTGGATTCAAAAAAAAAAAAAAAAAAAAAAAAAAAACCCAGATAGAGCCTGGCATGGAAGTACACACTTGTAAATCACAATGAAGAAGGAGGAGGAGGAAGAGGAGGGAAATATGAGTCTGAGGCTAGCCTGGGCTACATAGAAATGTAGAAAGATTTTGTCTAACAAACAGAACCCCAAATCACAGTGATCACATTTTATGACTTTAAAAATAAACAAAATTCAAATTTTAGTATCCATAAGTCAGAACTTTTTGGAAACAAATATCCATTCCCATGTGCATGGCCTATGGCCAATTTTGTGTTATAATGTCTGAATATGGTGGCTGCATCAGAAATCACTCAGCCTGCTAAGTCAAAAACATTTATTTCCTGAACCTTTCAGAAAAAGTTTGCTGAACTCTGACCCAAAACATGGAGACCTCTGAAGCAACATTCAGCACAGACATACAGACAGACAGACAGACAGACAGACAGACACACACACACACACACACACACACACACACACACACACACCTGACTGACAGGCTAGTCATAGATTGCTGACCATCCAAGTTCTCTGCTTAGACGTTCAGATTCTATTTTTCTTTCCTTCTGACCCAACACAGTGAGTGAGGTGTCCAGACATTTAATGGTGTCTGTCAAGTTTACGCACGCCATCCGTAGAGGGACAATCACCCAAAACAAACCGAGTGAGTGCAAGGTAGCACTGGAGCTTTGTTTGCTAAGCGCATGTCTCAGCCGCAAGCTAGTGTTTATTTCCCAGTGGCTGTCGCCCAGCTTCCTGTATGAGGCAGCTTTCCACCCTCATCCTGAAACAGATTCTTTTTTTAGGTTTCTTTCTTTGTGGCAGATGGAGTCCCGAAAGGTCATTAATAACAAGCATCAGAGTGAGACCGGAAGCCGTGAGACTCGTTACTCTCTGACAGGTCACCCGCCAGTGCCTAATGAGTCAGCTTAGGGGCTGTCCACAGCCGGTGACTCCAGCTTCCAAAGCTCCTGTCTCCAACATGGCTGCTTTCATGACAGGCCGCTACCCTCTGCGTCTGCTGGAAAGGAAGGGCATCACTAACTCGTCCCTTACCCCACATGCTCTCAACACACAGGTCAGCTCCAGGGCTGGGGGCAGCTGGTCAATGAAGCGCTTGCCAGCGCTTGCCGTGAAAATATGGGACCCCCAGTCCATGTCCTGGAGGACCGGACGAGCTAGCCTGTGCCCGTAATGTCAGAGCTGGGGAGGCAGAGGCAGGCAGGTCTCCAAGGCTAACTGGCCAGCAAGCTCTCAGCCAAAGAGAGATCCTGTCTGAAAAATCAAGGTGGACCGCACACAGTCATGCCCGCCGAGCCTCGTTGAGATGGACATCGCCAACTGTAGAATGTGGTG